TTCAAGTGGTACTTACCACACATCAAGTCTTCCAAGCATTTCGTTAATGTTAAGTCATTTCAGTGGAACTGTATACTTAAGTCAAGACAACACTACACCAAATCCAAGTCATTCCTCTGCTGCAATCTTCATAACTCAATCTGATGTCAAGCTTTCTGCGAGTAATTCTAGCGTCACATCGTCTTTAAGGCAATCTATTTTAAATTACTCAATGGTTACACCGAGCCAGCCCTTTTCCACATTGTCACAATATTCAAGTGGTGATAATGTAACTGATGTTTCGCTTACTTCAAGCAATTCAGTCGTAGCACTCCAAGCAAACAAATCGCTTGACGTCCTTGACACTCGACCTTTTGGTCACTATGGTGCTAGCTTTACATTGTCGTCAAGTCAGCTTGATGTTGGACTCTCTGCGAGTCATTATCACGATACTCTTTCGTCAAGTCATCTCAAAGTACCAAGTTCTCGTGGTGCGATGATACCTTCAAGTCGGTATGACAGTTCAAGCTCTAAAAGAAATTACCTTGTCACACAATCCACGAGTCCAAGCCATCGTATTGTTAAGTTATCTCCAGAGAAATCCCAGGTCATGCAGTCTGTAACACTTACAACACTTCAACGCACACATCATAACACAGGATATTCTACGTTGGAGACAATGAAACTTTCATCTTTGCCCTATTTTTACACACCGTCAATATTTGCATTAAACAAGTCCATTGTTACAAATATCAACTCAGCTGCAAAGACCAATAACACATCTGAAAAAGCCAGACACGACCATATGAACACAATAAATGTTCCCCATTCTGCATCCTTGCCTTCCGGCGTAAGTTTTCAGCTCTCAGTTCTCTCTGGCACATTTATTCCTTCCACCGAAAAAAACTCTCAAGATGGCATCGCATCATTGGTACATGAAAGTACTTTGATAAAGCCTTCACTATCCGCAGACAGAGACACACCGTTGTCTGTAAATCCAAACCCAAATACCATGGACACCTCTCATGCCTCTCCAGTCGACTCATCAATCAATGGCAACTCTTCTGACAAATCTTCTTCAGGATCAAGCTTAATGAATTATTCAGTGGAGAATAGCAGTGCACACCACAGATATATGCAGATGGTACAACTCAGTAAACCAGACAATATAACTCATATCCAAACCCGTCTGACAAGCATCATTTCCGATGCAAACAAGTCCTCGCTTTCTATCCATAAACTTTCTTTACTGAAGAACAACCTTGACGCTACGTTGACAAAAAAATGCAATCATTCATCATTTCCATCATCAAACATCATCTACCATTTCATCTCAGACGTGAGCATCTTAACAGATTCTTCTTCTGATTTTCTACGCGACATATATACAAACAGACTTGCTTTATCCAGTGTACAAAGTTTAGATAGAACAACCTTTCCTACTAAAGGTTTCAAGGCCACTATCGCCAAATTATCATCTTTTTCTAAAGCGTCAGGTAAACGTTCTTATTGTTGTTTTATTGCATATGACAAACTCTTTGAGTACATGAAATCGAGTGTTCTTTGTAAACTTCTCGAATACAGAAATAAAAAAGTGAGAGAAGTCTGGACTCTTGGTTTTCACTTCTTCGTTCAGCTTTCAGGATTTTTCTTTCCATTTTTTGAAGTTCCTGTGATAAAATTATTTTCCGTTTTGTGGCGGTACTTTGTAACATCAGTATTCTCCTCAAAAAGTTAGTACTTGAGGCTCAACGTTTGTGTATCAGACGAAGTTTTCCTGACTTAAGGCCAAACGTACGCGTGTCAACGTTGATTTCTCTCGTTAGGTTGATTCTTTTAAATTTTGGTTGTTCCACAGAATCTGCAGGTTTGGTCACTCTCATTTCTCAGAGAATCCAAGCTACCCCGAGTTTTTCGCTCCCTTCTCGGAAAGACAGCAACACGCCTGTAACTGGAGAGACTTATGCTCAACCTTCTGGCAGAATGTATTCGTTATCAACTCCAGCTCATCAAGGGCTTCAATCTTCTTCGCCTGTTTCCATTCCAGCGACAGCTCATAACCCTTTATTGGGAGACAGGACTACTCTGATGAAAACCACGTCATCGCGAAATTTCTTAAGCAAAAAGCCTCATACAAGAGTCGATCCGTCATCGACTCCTCACGGACGATTTGTTACTGAAATACACGTTTACACTTCGTTTCAAGGCCCTCAATCATCGTCACCAATGTCAACCACCTCTTCAACAATTGTAGGTACGTATGAGGATAACAATAGCTTCGAAATAACCGCAGAATGTACAAAAGGCAGTGACATGGCACGTATTACAATTTTCTTAACTTCTTGTTATAAGTGTAGCGGTAATTAGTATAAATCAACTGTTGTTCTCTCACAAATGCTGCAATTTGATTTGCTGCTCTACTCGTCAGTCATTCCGTTATAGCTATTGGGTAAAGTGAGTAACTTGATAGTGTACAGTATTTGAAAAAATGAATGAAAATAAACATATAGGCCTGTCTCGTTAAAATCTGAACAACTTGTAGATTCTACCAAAATGATAAGAGTATTCGGTCTAGCTTTGTATGTATGATAACGGTCACGCGATAGAAATTTCGAGCTCACAATTTAATGCGAAATGCAGCGAGCTAATGATTAGCGAACTGAACCTAAGATCTTAAGTTTCGATCCTTGGTCATCCTTGGCTAGGATCAACGTTTCATGTCAGTTCCTGGGCACTCAAAGAGGTGTAACGTTTACTCTCGCCCCTCTCTGCTCAAGAACATAAAACATTGGACAAATTTTCACGATATCACTAGTGGTAGAAATGAACTTGAGACTGATACGAAAAGACATGTACGACCAATTCAGTGATGAAAAACGTGAGATGACGTTTAATTGCATTAATCGGACGGGTGTGGAATAAAAATTGGAGCATTTCTAAATTTATTTTTTCTTTAAGCTGGGGTAGTTGATGGTTCGTTGAAAAACCTAATTTTTCTCCTCCAGCTCAAGGCCCAACGGGTAAACCAGACAGGCCACCAATTTTGAAGTTCCCTTGGCACTTAACACCCTTTCTGGTCATCATATTTATCATCCTTGTGGTTCTTGCCACTTACTATCTACGTGTTCCTGACATTGTCCAAGCTATCATCCTTGCAGTAAAGGAAAAGAGGAAAAAAGAGAAGGAATCGAAGGCAAACGACCTTGACCTCGATACCGCAAACCTCGACTTGAGGAAGGGCAACTTCTCCACAGAAGGTTTGCAAACATCGCACTTCCATTCTTACCAGAGAGAGGTGTTTTACGAGGAGGCACTAAACTACGCATTTTTTGAGATGGCAGCAATGAAAACCGTCGAATTCTCTGTTCGGCTTGATGATGAAAACCAGCAAAATTCAGAATCGGAGGAATCTGTGGAAATATCTTGTGAAATGGAAGAGGAAACCGTCAATAAAAAGCAAGGGTCTGATACACTAAGTGAGATGTTCCATGCTTGTGATTCTGATATTGAAACAAACAAACATGTACAAAAACGGTTTCCTTCCGTGGACCTAAGAAGGAGGAGCCACGACTTACAACTCCAACATACAGCGCCTTCGTATGAAATGTAGGATTAAATTTTCATAATCTTTTACGAGCTGGCAATACTACTTCTATGAAAATAGTGAGTAGAAACTGTAAAGATAATTTTCGTCCAAATTTAAGCTTGCAAAGATCCTTATATTTATTTGAGTTGATCATAAAATCTTAGGCTTGATTTAAAATAACAGCTGACCTATCTATCTTTTGAATCCAAGTTTTTGGAAGAGACATACGTATTTGAAGGTATTGAACAGAGTCAAGGATATTATTTTCACAATAACTTATGAAGGTTAGGTTTCCAACGCTGACAAATAAGCGCTTGCTTATGTACAAAGTCAAGGGTGAACCACATCCAAATTTATATTTGTAATATTTTTAATGGTCATAATTCAACTTAATTTCTGAGACAATCAGACTTCTCCATTATCAGCCATGGTTGCCATTCTTGAGCATAAGGGGTAAAATTATCTCCATTAGATGGAGTTAGATTTATAAAAACTTTAAACACACACAAACAAGACTCGTAAATTTGATGTAATATCACAGGTGGATAATGGCTTCTAAGGCTGTTCCTTCCGTTCATCATAGATATTTGGTTTTCATGTCAACTTTTTTTAACGATAATTGATTAATTTGACAGATTAACAGATTAGCCGTTACTAACCTCATTCCAACAACAACCTCCCTATTTCAATCTCTTTTTCCCGTATTTAGAGCCATTCATTTCCTTATCTTAAAACCTCTAAAATTCGATTGGTCCAGTACAAGTAATGACCGCGCCCATGACGTACACAAGATAGCCATTCGTTTACAATAATCTATAAATATTTTCTCGTTATTTACCCCATTACCCTTCCCTCCCCCACAAACAAAGGAAGTCAACCTTACGATTGCCATATTTGTGAATTCTTCCGGCTAATTAAAAGTAAATTTTATCCCGCCCACTTGGCTATGAGCCGAATTCAAATATTTAACTTGATTGAGCCACGCATGTCTGTCTTGCAAGCTTGATGTCATTACATGACTCTGTCCCAGGCGGCCGCATTTTTCTGCTCCAGTGATGGCCAAGCGATCGAATGACATTTGATTGTAAGTTTAATTTAGCATAAATAATGTTCTTTATGCGGTTTGAAATTACATCGATATACTTAAGCTTACAAAATCAAGCTGGTGCTTGAAATCATTACTAAAAATTGTTTTCAAAACAAGAACCAATTCATTGGGCGAACTTTTGTTTGTGTATTTACACTGGGCAGGTACTCAAGAAAAATAAAACATGAGAATTACCAGACCATTCAGTGTGTCACTGATATAATTTTTTGTGTAAATCTTTCGTCGATGTTGTATTGTAGGACCTACGTTTTCCGTGTTTTTTTTCGAAATATTAGTTTTTGCTGTTACAAAGAGCAGATTTCACGAAGGATGATGTTTTATGTGATAAAGTTCTATCGAGGGTCGATCTAACAGGGTCTGATGAGGGTCGACCACGTTCAAACTGCGTTAACGTCCCTCGTAGTTTTTCTACTCTTTATCCGGTTACATGGAAAAGCTGTGAATGGAAGTGAATTCGGTAAGATGCCTTTGACGTTAACATATTTTAAGTTTGTGTTTTTGTAGACATAAGAGTAACATTCAAAATTTACGGGTTTCCTAACACTCGTGAGCAATATGATTTGTAATTAACATGTCACTGCAACAGCAGGGGTAGTAAAGTTTACAAAGATTAAAGTAACGTGGATTTCATCAAGTGTTTTGCAATTTAAGGAAACCAGTCCATTGAATAATAGAAAAATAATAGGTTTTTGGGGGTGGGTGGTGCTTAAACTTTGATCTGAAAATTGAGCTAGGGAAACCCTAGTTTTTTAGGGAGTTACAAGGTCAAAACCAAACATGGTGAATATAATCTGTAAGGTTGAAATACGGCTGAATTGGGCGTCGTCTGCATTTCTATAAAGAGGGTCTTGATGGGGTGATGGCTAAAATTTTGGCCATTCTTGCGGCTTATGGTTAATTTTTCCGTTATGGTACTCTCATAATGACACTTACTACATTAGAAATTTTTTTACGGTTAACGTTTTTCACGACTACCGGTTAAATGTTGAATGTGTTCAATTTTTCTGCCAAACGGCTAAACTTTGGTTGTTTCTTTTATTAACGGTTAACCTCGTCGAGAACCTCCGTAGAGGAGGCGGTCCAGTCACTTTTATTGCTTCAAAAGGACAAATAGTGGTGAACCAGATTCCAAATCTGATTTATAGTTGAGTCAGAAACGATAGTTCATTCAAAACATTTTGAAATAGTCAACAGGTTAGAATTTTCAACTCGGTTGGTGGTCAAAAGATTCTAAAAGCAGGTCTTAAGAAAGGACTGACCACTTTTGTAAACATCACTGAGTTAAGAACACGCAATTGATCGTCCCACCCACGTGCACATACACGATGTTCGAGTCTCGCGACAAATCGTGTAACAGTTGTAAAGGCTGACCATTAACCAGAATTGATCGACCATATAAATCAATTTATGAGTGAAACATATCCATCAGAATAGTGGTAAAATATAGGCAGACAGTTGCTAAGTAAATAATGAAATTCTCGTTATAAATGAACCGAGATGGTCAGCTAGTCCTGATTGATGACCTGAGGCTTTACTTCATCACGCTGTATGATTGGGCTGGAAAATTAGTACCAATTTCTCGTCCAATGCGATTCCGGGCTAAACTAACTGCGACTTGGTCACTTGCGTTTTCCTGCGCTTCAGAAAGTTTGCTTGTTTTTGTTTCGAGTACTCATTGGCTCCGTATCGTATATTTCTTTCTTCTGATTTGAAACTATGGCTGCTCTACTTTTGGTTTACCGAACCTCAAACTTAATGGCGCTTTATTGCGTTCAATTGGATAGTAGAAAGAAAGAACTCCACCCAAACTCTTTTCAAGTGCTTCACCCCCTTTAACAGAATGTTTAGTGCCCCTGGGATTTCAGTTTATTCTATAATAGTAAATAGAATGCAACTGCTCTTATTTCTCCAATAACAGTTATTATCGAAGGTGACATGAAGGTTGATAAGCGCTTTATTGAGCATTATATGAGAAGAATAAAAAAGCGTGGTGCTATCCTAAACCGAAGAGTTGGTGCGAGTTATTACTGGCCCGAAACAATCATAGACGGAAACAAAATTGTGCGAATACCCTATACACTGAACATTGGATTCTACAGTAGATTGTTCGGTAAGAAAAGTTATAACACGTAAATGATTATTTCCCTTACTCTTTCCACGTTCATTCCATTTTACTGTTGTCAAATTGACAAATTGATTCCTTGCTGTTATGTGTGTGTTCAATGATAGATCACAGATGATGTCAAGGTGTAATAGGAAAGCGCAGTCGAGTGTGACACTTATTTTGATGTCTTTTGTGATTTATAACCAAACAGACCAACTGTAATATGGAATCTATTTGTTTTATGCACTAGATAAGCAAAAAGTGTTAATGGTGACGTTATATATGCGTCTGTCCTCCAATAGATCATAGCGCTTAGTTCAGCTTATTTACAATTCGGTGTTGTTGATGATAATGATGATGATTTTCATGAGGAGGGCCTCTGTTTGAAATATATCGCGTGTTTAAAATAGACCTTATCAGGAAATTATCAGCAATTTCAGTCATATCTGGGACTTCCTGCGAAGAAATATGTTGCATATTCCAAGAGGCTTTGTAATACAGATATACTCTCTATAAATTGACTATGGGTTGCTCTTGTCGTTCAGATTAATTTCGTTAGCCTGGATGCTATAGGGTAAGTCTCTAAAAAGCTCTCTTGCCACCGATCTAAAAGAGTTTTAAAGAATTTATTTGATAATTTTCCAAGTGAGGTAACGCTATACGCGACATGATAAATGGTATTATTTGATGTTTTCTTTTCAGGAAATGATATGGTAAATGGTTTTCTAGCAGCCGTCCAAGAATTTGCTAAGCGGACCTGCCTTCGTTTCGAAGAGAAAGAGGACGAAGACGAAGATTATTTAGAAATTTTCAGTGGTCCAGGGTAAGGAATTGAAAGATTGCACCGATGTTCCATTCTAATTTCTCCATGCATATGTATTAATCGTTTGATGTGGCCTCTATGGAGGCTGATGAAGAAAAGATAGCCCACGTAGGAATGAACTCATTCACGAACGAACGCAAGTGTGCACGCACGCAGGCATGCACGAACAATGGATGGATGAATAAGAATGGATATTAGACAAGTAACGAAAAAGGATACTTAGAGCCAAGTTTAAAATGATCAATCCCTTTCACAGTGCTAAGGTCTCATTCACCACACGATGAAGGGCTAACAATCGAGACGTAAGCTTTAGAGACTCTTTACGGTGGCCAGTTTACATTTTCAACTTAGTTGATGGAAGCAAGTTATTTTGTAATGCCCTCCGCCGACGCAGTACCACAGTCTTTGTACAAACTTTTCCTCTTTTGATGAAAGTTGAGCCTCGCGGCTTTTTAAATACCTCGGCATGTCTTGCCTAGCTGATTATTCCCTGATCTGAATTGACAGATGCTTCTCTATGATTGGACGGCGCGGTGGCAAACAAGAAGTTTCACTTGGTAAAGGATGTGAGACGAAAGGGAAAGCGACCCACGAACTGATGCACGCCCTTGGATTTTTGCACGAGCAGAGTCGAAAAGACAGAGATCGACACGTTACTATCTTAACTCAAAACATTCTGGATGGTTTGTCAGAAATTCAATTATAGATGACACTTACCATGTGAACTAACATATGACTTCAGATACTGTATGGAGCTGCTTTAGAACAGATTTATCCAAACAATTCAGTCAGCCGTCTGGTTCGGTCAGTGAGTCTGATTCGGTCCACGATCAGAGTCAGTCAGTTATTAAGTGAGTCAAAAGTCAGTCATTTAGTCACGGTCAGTCAGTCAGTCTGTCAGTTAGTCAGGCAGTTAGTTAGTAAGTCAGTTAATTAGTCAGGCAGTCATTTGAAAAGTCAAACAGGTGAATAATCAGTGCCGTAGCAGGGTTAAAATTATTGGGGGGGCCCACCACGAGCGCCAAAGTCACGAAGTTTTAGGGAGTCCGGGGGAATGCTGGAGTTTGCCAAATTATTGGGGGGGCCCGGGCCCCCCCGGCCCCTCCCCACGCTACGGCATTGATAATACTTGCTAGTCACTTCCGAACCAGCCAATGAGTGTTATTTACCTGTGTGGTATATACTTAGTATCAATATTAACTACCTTTAGAAGGTGTTATCTTTTTTTTTTCACTCAGATTAAATGTTTCACAGTTTTATGCTCTGTTTACCTTTAAATTTGATATTTCCTCTTTCTAGTTGGAGTGTCAGAATTCAAGACGTATAACCAGGACAACGGCAACTTACCGTACGATTTTCACTCTATTATGCATTATAACAACAAGATTTTTAGCAAAAATGGTGAAGATACAATCCAAGCTCTCATCGACCCCAAGATGACCTTGGGGCAAGAAAACGGACTTTCAGCATTGGACGTTGTAAGAGTAAACATGTTATACAAATGTCCTCAGCTTCGGACGGATCGTAAGTGAATGTATGTTTTGTAATACACTTATCGTATCTACCTCTAGCTTTGGTGAATGGATTGTTCTGTAGGTTGAAGATTCAGTCAATCAGTGAATAAATATTCGATGAACGCGCCGATGATTGAATGGATGGATGAAAAAAAGAAGGAATGAAAAATGATTAAATGAAGCAAACATTTAAAAAAGGAAGATGTGGGTAAATGAAGGAATCGAGTAGATAATAAATCAGATTGATTGATTGAATGAATGAAAATGAATAAAGGAATGAATAGAAAAGTAGATAAATGGATGGATGGATGAACAGGAGGAATGATGGCTGAAATAGTTTCGACATTAAGACAAAGAAACAAAAAAATTGCACAACCAGATATCAGCGTCACGCAAACCAGTTTGTCGTTTTCAAATCTTGACCTTCCGAGATTAATTAACTTTAACGGTATGCTCTTCTTTAAAGTTGTACAGCTAAAATTTTTTTTTAATAATTACATTGTGCAATAGTGGTGCTCTACTTTGTCACTGTTTACACGTCTAATGATTACTGGGCCGGCACCGACTCAAGGGTTGATATTGTACTTGACGGAGCGAAAGGGGACTCGGGAGAGATAGAATTGGAATCTCCTGAAGATGTTCCAGACCCATTTGAACGGGGAAGGTAAGATTACTACTTGCTTTATCTGTTACCTTCTAGTTGAACAAACCTGCTGTCTTATCTTAATTTGGCTTCAATCACGTTGGTTGTTCCTGGAAGTGATGTTTTCGTATTAGTCAAAAGAGGATTAATATCCATATGAATAGTGACAATGATAATGATAATCATTTATTTCTAGCACTTTACATCAGTGCTTTTACAAAAATTGTAATAATTTAGGATCCGGGAACACTTTTACCATAATCATAATATAAAACCAAACAAAGAAGTAGATTGACATGTTCAAAGATTACATAAATAAGCCCTAAGTCTGTTTTAAAAATATCAAACAGACGGGACGCTCCTCACGTCTAACAAAATTGTTCGTAAAACTACAGATGAGTATCGTGGTTAAGCATAAGCCGTTAATAGTGGTTCACTTTTCGCCCGATTGTTGACGTCCCGCTCGTCATGAGAGCGGGGTGCTTGCGTACGAAGCTGGAAAATTTGACGCTTTTTTTCATTTCAAGCTCTCTTTGAGGCTTGCCTTTGACTTAACAAGTATAGAGAACTGATAAAGAGACATTTTATATGATACTTGTTACCCAAAAAATATTTCTTATGTGATGATTAAATGTCCCTAATGTCTGAAATCTTATCATTTTCAGTAAGGATACATTTCCCGTAATTTCTCCTGCTGTTGGAGAATTAAAAAGGCTTCGTATCAGGTTGGCCGGAAGTAGCTGGAGCTGGTTCAATGGTTGGAAACTTGAAAAAGTAAGAAAAAAATTCTTTTCCGTCGTTCATCCTTGGAAAAGCTTTCAGGTTTTTATGACGCATAGACCACTTGGTGTTCGCATGGAAGACAACCTTTTTTTTTCTCTTTCTCTTATAGGTGAAAATAGAAACACCAGATAACAAGAAAATTCATTTCAAATATAATGAGTGGATTTATTCCGGCGATCATGTAACTTTGTCGCCCTCTACCAGGAGGAAAAGAAAGCGAAAACAGAAGATAGCTTAAGCTTGTCGTTTACTCGGGGTAGTGCGATATAAGAGAGGAACTTTTGACCAGATCCCGGACAAAGGCGACGCATCCAATCCAATTATCTCGTTAATTTGTCCGTCAAAAAGTCGGTCAATGTTCGGTCCACAGTCGACCAATTGTGGTCGACGTATCCAATCCGACAATCTCGTTAACTTATCCGTCAAATAGTCGGTCAATGTTCGTTCCACAGTCGACCAATTGTGGGCTGACTGATGACCGACTATGAATCGATTATTTATCGTCTTTCGACCGATTAAAGGCTTTGGTCACCTCTTTTAACAACAAAGGTCTTGAATAAGTGAGGAATTGCAACCTCGTTCCTGGGGTCCTCTCTCTTTCCTTCTCGAGTGAGGAAGGGAGAACACCTGAGAACGAGGTTTGAGAAAATGAAGAGCGATATTGTTTTTATTTATTAACGGGAGGCACCTGTTACCCGTTGTATAAAGGATGGGAAATCTCACTGAAGGAAAAACTTCTTTAGCCTCGGTTGCACTCACTGCATAGAGTAAAAACTATCAATGGTGATCACATGTAAAACAGATTATATATACAACAGTTTTTTTGTAAGTAAGGCTTTGAAAAGTTTTATTCTGTTATTTTGCCTGCGGGTTATAGCTTAGCTATTCAGTACTACTCTCTTAGAATTATTAGGGACATTGACTGTAACAAAATTTCAGTATAGTTTCGAGCAATTACGACTTCATTTTTATTTTTTTTTGTACGTAGAGTTCATAAGATGAGATGGCTTTTATTTGTTTTGTAGAATACATTTAGCTTCACTTTTCAGTGTATAGTTTCAATTTGTGTACTCTCAAAAAAAAGCTGTTAATAAACAGTTCAAATTTCTTGTGCCTGAATATTTTATGAGGAGAGAGAAGATCAAAAACCATACAAGCTGACCGCTCGCAACAGACAATCCTACCCTAAGACTGTGAGTCCGTAGATCAACGGAGGATGCCTGCTGCGAACAGATATTTTGTTTAGTAGCAAGCTCATTAACTAGGGAAAAAAACCTCATATTTCCAAATTTTGTAACAGTCGAGTTTTACAGAGGGGTACTGGACAGTAGATGATTCGTGTATGCCAGGAGCCTATTACTGAAGTAATGGGCTCCTGTGTATGCACGTATGTCTAGTTACTTCGGATGCAAATGATTTTTCATTGTTTAAGAGTAAAACTTTTGAGGAGTTCTGTTTTGCAGATTTTTTTTTTCTAAATTTTTGAGGATCAAGTGCTATTTTCTATCCAAAAAATTAAAACCCGAAGATATCCATGCCACAAGCAGGAGCTTATACATTCCTTGTATTCTTTGTTTCAAAACCTTCTTTTTGCGCCTTACTTCTTATCAGCGGACGGTGGATTGATTGAGTGGCACAGTGGAAGACCATTAGATTTTAATCCGATCCCCTAAGCAATATTATTTCTAAAGTTTCGTTCTGTTTTTGCTTTTTTTTTTTCACGGTGCTCTTTCATTTGGAAAAGACCTACAGAGGTGCGACTGTGTTTGAGCATGCAGTTGAGAAGGTCAGCTGACTCTCCTTTATTACGCATGCTAAATTTTGCCGGGGGAAGAATCGCGGGAAGACGAAAATTGCACATGGAGTAAAGAAAAGAGGTATACATTAGATCGCCGGCAAAAATATACCTCAGGATGGATATACCTCATTTAACCAACATCTTGTCGAGTACTTTTGACCCAAACTTAAGAGAAGAAGCAGAAAAAACATTGAATGAGGTAAAGTTTCATTAACTGCAATTTCTTTCGTGATTTGACCGATCGATTTCGTCAACACGCACATTGTTGGATATTTGAAACGGATCTAACGAACCGTTCTTCGTTTTTAATCAACAATTACACCACTAAATCTTATATTTAAGCGAACTCTTAATTTTACAACTTTAAATTGGGCCAAACTTTTGGAATTTGGAATTGTTTTTCAATTCAAAAGAACTTTAAAATGAATTTTATTCGACTTATTTTTATTTTGGTCATGATTTTGTCACGTATTTAAGATATAAATTCGATGAGTTATTATTACTTTTTTGGTTTCCTTTCTACAGATTTACAAGCATCCAGGGTTCCTCTCGCTTCTTCTTCAAGTCGTTATGTCTAACGATGTACAAATTCCTGTGAGACAGTCAGGTGCGGAAATTACTATTAATTAAAACTGATAACGTACGTACATTGTTAAATTTTAGCATATATGTCGCAATTCACAAGTCAAAAGATTAACTTTGGCATTGAATTGTTCTATTAATGAAAGGTCAATCGCTTAATATTGGAAAAGGAAATTTTTTCTTAATAATATCAGCAGAGTGACTTTTATTTGTGTTGGTTGAAGTCCAACGGAGTTAGTGATGTTCATGTTATTAAAACTATTGTACCAAATTCAAGAGAATGCAAAGTATTCAAGTTAAAAACTTTGATTTAAATTTAACCTCTACGCAACACAAGAAAACTTTAAAGAATCATTTTGGCCCTAAAAATAAGTGCACAGATAAAATTTTGCAAGAAGTGCAATTTATTTCTACGGGCCTTTTTAACCTCTTCGCAAAGATTAGTTATTCACCTAATGGTTCACTCAAGAATGATTAAACTTTTACACCCTAACATCAGTATCCACATTCTCTATGCTCTTCTCTATACATTTCTTTTGGTACTGACAAGGAGAGATCATTTAGTAATCAAAGCTTCTTGGGTTGCTGATCATTTTCTACATTCTCATAATGTTGATAGATTATTTAGCATACTTTTGTGAGGAGAACTTTGATGCCGATCACCCTTAGAGTTAAAAGAGTTAAATTTTGCTTCACTGATACAGAAAATGTTTATGCTACATTTAACACCATCCTTGTAAAATGTTTTATTTGCCATCACCCAGTGAACCCATTGATTTGAAAAGGTTAAAAATAAAAAAAATAAAAAAAACTTAGTATAAGAAGCAAAATTTTAGTAATCAGTTTAATTGATATTAATTATTTACTGGTAAATGATAAATATATTAATTTAAGTAGAAACCATTTCTTACATATTCTGTAACATGGTTATTGGAAACATTTTGATCAGGAGAACAAAATTTAAGGATGGCCTTTACATGTTCTTGAAATGAACTTTTTGTTCACATGCCTGTTACTTGTATTTGTCACTATTTGTCTCCTAATAGGCTGGATTAAGCACACATTTTGATTGGTTCTGATGTTGCTAGTGATAATATTTTGGTTTTCTTATTATTGATTCAACAAATGTAAAACATAAAACTAAAAGATTCCCTGTTGCATTGGGTTTGTATGTTACCAGATTGTAGAAGAAGTGAAAATGCATTAAGAACATCAGTGACTCACTTGGCTGCATCTCATGTGCCACCTTTTGGTTCTTGCTTCATTTTGACATCATCTACATTTGTATTACTAAACAGAAGCACAGCAACATGGAATTTAATTGTTCATTTGATGATAGTGACTCATACAGCATGGTGATTTAAGAGTTAGCAAAAAGTTCTTGATGAGGCCTATGGTAATGACAAAATGTATATTTGCTCAGCCAAATATTATGCTGTAAACTATTGACTGCCAATGATTGCCTTTGTAGGTGTAATTTATCTCAAGAATATGATTGTCCAGTACTGGAAAGAGAGAGATCCTTCAGAACTTGCTGATACTAGTGCTGCATTTGTTATTGTTGAGCAAGATAAAGCTACCATCAGAGAAAATATTGTGGAGGCAGTTATTCATGCTCCTGAATTAATAAGGTAGAAATCTTGTAAAGCTACAGGTGTCTTTAAGTAAAGCTGAAGACAGGGCCCTAAGTGTGACTTTTAAATTTAGCAGTTATGATAGCCAGAGGGGACATTTTTCTTGTGATTAAAGAACAATTAAAAAAAAAACTGCGTGCATACTTTGCAGAATCCAGCTTACTGTGTGTGTCAGTCAGATTTTACGTCATGACTTTCCTGACAAGTGGCCTGGAGTGATTAACAAAGTGAATGGATTCCTGGCAGAGAACAGTCAAGGGACATGGATGGGTGCTCTTCTTACCCTATATCAGATTGTCAAGAAATATGAGTAAGTACTTGCTGTCTATTGCTATTTTCAAAAAATTCAAGCATGTGCATGTAACTTTACACTGGCGTGCGGTTGTTATTTTTTCAAAGTTTTTCATGGTTCCACTTTTAGAACTTAGAAATATTAAATATGTACTGTTGTTTTTCTTAAAATTTGTGTTTATTTGGACTAGTCCCTTCAGTGATGTCACAGTTTATTGACATGTTTATTTTGTGGGTTATAATTAAGCTTTAATTAAAAGCTACCTGTTATTCTACACAAGGAGAAACATGTGAAATATGTGATGCACTCTAGAAAGCTCCCTAACCTGAAAGAGAGCTGTGTGCTTGTGTAGAGCTCTTTGTCTGTTGTGGCGGTTATGTTTGAGAACCAAATAGTATCTTTCTTCCTTGTTTTTTGTTCACCCCTGATCCAAAGGCCCTTTTATTTTCTTTACAATTTCACTTTGAAAATCTAAGACACCCTTTGTCTAATGGCTAGCAAAGGGACAATCCCAAGATGACTTTTAGGGCTACTGAAAATCATTTTTCTAGAAATGATTTCATCGCCTGTTACTGTGCTATTTCTCCTATTCAATTTTGTTTCACTTAAACTCTGTAGGTTCAAGAAGCCAGAGGAACGGCAATTTCTCCACAACATCATGCAAGTTCTTTTGCCACAACTCTATGCAAGAGTTGTTGCCCTGATAGAAGACTCATCAGAGATGTCAGTGGAGATCCAAAAACAGATTCTTAAAATTTTCTTTGCGCTTATTCAGGTTAGTTTCATCAACCTAATGGTAGAGAAAATAGTAAACTTATAGATTTCAGCCGGATACACATCATGCATCAGCAAGTTTTCCTATGGAGAGTACAGTGGGGGCAGAAGAACATGTCATGCATTTTTTAGTAATGGATTTAAACAAGACGGCATGT